ATCGAGTCCCACATCGGGCTCCCTGCTCGACAGGGAGTCTGCTTCTCCCTCTGACCCTCTTCCCTCTCGTGCTCTCTCTCATTCTCTCTCTCTCAAATAAATAAATAAAATCTTTAAATATAAATAAATAAATAAAAATAAATGAAGGAGGTAGAAGAGAAAAGGGATGAGAGAAAGAATTAAAAAAAACACACCATTTCAATTTGTAATTCATATTACGTGTTCTGTTATTGGTAAATAAAATGCTTGCTTTTCCCAACTTCACTGGAGAAAAAAAAAACTGATAATTTCTATACAGTGAGCTTCAATTCATTATAGAACATATATTCCAACCCACAGGAAATATCTCTTGAAAGAGGTTTGGATAGAAAACTATTTTCTCCAAAAATAATAACTATGAAAAAATTACACAATTTTTTTTTCATTTGGAAGAAGCTGATAATTATCTGAGATGAAGCACTGTTCCCAGCTCCTGGGCTGCCGGCTGACGAAGGGAAGAGAGAAATGAAGTGGCACTGTCATTGCCCAGGCACATCTGGTTTGGGTTTCAAGCACTGAGCCATATCCTAATGTGTAGATTTGCCCTTTAAATTAACATCCCATTATCATGTTTTCTGGCAGGAAATTGTACCAACTACAAATGGAGTTGGACTTAGAACTCCCCAAGAAATGAGAGCAGCGCCTGGGTGGCTCAGTCATTAAGCGTCTGCCTTCGGCTCAGGTCATGATCCCAGGGTCCTGGGATCGAGCCCCGCGTCGGGCTCCCTGCTTGACAGGAAGCCTGCTTCTCCCTCTCCCACTCCCCCTGCTTGTGTTCTCTCCCTTGCTGTGTCTCTCTCTGTCAAATAAATAAAATCTTAAAAAAAAAAAAGAAAGAAAGAAAGAAAGAAAGAAAGAAAGAAAGAAATGAGAGCAGCAACAGTTTAGACATAAAGTACCAAACCCTGGCTTGCAGAGTTCCGATTCACCTGAATGACTGCAAGCCTAGGAGGCTGAGGAAGGCAGGCGGTGAAGTGGTTCTTGAGAAAGAGTTTCAGTGGAAAATAGAGGAAAGGAGCACCCAAAACAATGGCAATGGTCAACCACAATGTAAGATTCTGTGTCAGTAGCTACTAATTATTAGTCTTCTCTTAATTCTCAGATTTGCTGCACTCAGGCTGGTCCGGATAAAGATTTTTAGATGCATAAGCAATGAAAAGTATACAGACCTCCTAAACCATCTCCTTATGGAACTCAAAATGAAAGCAATATAGACCACAAGACAAAGGTGGCAAAGACTACTGTAATTTTGTAAAATATCAATTATTAGATGATTTTAATATTGTTTTTCATTTCCTTTTTGAGCCTCTACTTTGCTAGTCCTCTCATTATATAATGGATCTGAATTAATAGATAACCAGCACTGTATCCTAGATATTCTGAACATAATTTGCTACTTGTTCAGTACTTTAAGGGTGTCTCAAAAATATGAATGGAAATCACCTATCCAACCAACTTGGGTGGACCGTCCTATTTCCTTTAGCTGTTTCGTGAATGACATTGCAAGCTAATCCAGTCAAATGAGTCAAAACCCATTGCATGTATCTCTGTGCCCAACTCCATAAAAATACATTTTGCAAATGCACTGTGACACAAGAAAGCAGATCATCTTGAGGAGGAAATCGATCAGAAAATCTTCCCGTGGGTAAACTCATTAAGTGATTCCACTATGCTTTCAAGGTAGACTTCAAAATCTTTATCATGACTTGTAGGACACTTTAGGGATCTGGCTTCCATACGGCCACGGAAGCCAGATCCCTAAGATTCATTTCCTGTTGCTCATTCCCTTCCAGATTCATTCCCTTCCAGACTCATTCCCTTCCAGACTCACTTTCTGTTGCTCCTGTGCCCCAGTATGCTGGTTAAATGACTAGCAATTTCCCAATATACCTTGCTCTTGTCCAGGGACTTAGTGTGAGCTCTAGCTTCTGCCTAGAATAGCAATGCCCAGTAAAAATATAATGCAGCATATACAATTTTAAATTTTCTAGGCGACACATTTAAAATTGTATTTTCTTTAGCTCAGTACATCCAAAATATTATCATTTCAACTGGTCATTGATATAAAAAGTATTAATGAGGCATTTTACACTTTTCTTTTGAACTAAGTCTTCAAAGTCCAATCACATTTATTAGTGCATCTTAATTCAGAGCTAGCTGCATTGGCTGTGTGCCCCCGGCTACCATATAGCACAGCACAGCGGTAGAAAACTTTGCCCTCCTTCTCTTTCAATTTCAGATCAATTTCACCTTCCCTACAGATGCCCTCCATCACTCTCAGATCTAGGTGTCCCCCCATTTGCCACAGAGTACCTGAGATTACCTTCTGCAATAGCACTTAACACACCCTATGGCTTGTTTGCTTATCTTTATCTGTCAGTAGACTTGAAGCTCTCTGGATGCCTGGACCAGGTCTTACCTAATTTTACATCCCAAGCACCTAGCAAATGTCTGTCACATAAAGGCTCATGAGTTTTCACTTATGTTAATCAGAAATAGCATATCATTGTCCAAGAGGGGATTAGTATAAGAGTAAGTCCTAAATCTTTATATTAAGTTCTTATTAACTATAGTTCACTGTGTTGGTAAAGTAAATAATCTCTATGTCCTAGTTTTGGGGGTGCTGCTGTTGTTGTTGTTGTTTTAATCTCTTTTTCCAAAACAAAACCAAAAAAAAAAAAATCAAAGCAAAAATTCTGACAAATGCTTAATTTATAATGACAATGTAAGCCAACCTGACAATTGTACTATATAAGCCCTCTTTGAGAGAGAACTGATAGACTGGCTTACTCAAAGAATTAACTAAAGAACTGGTCAACATTTGTGACACAAAGGAAAGGCAGGAGGTATCTGCTTTTAGTCTGGGGCTAGTGACCTCAAGGTTGCTTTTGATGCAGGCATCAACTATGGAATGTTGACCAATCACACTATTTGATGTTTTGGAAAGAGTCAACTAATGAAAAGATCCCTCCCTCCCTTTATGTGCTTTCCTTAAGTATCTGGCACTAAATTATCTTTGGAAGAAAGAAAAGAAGCACATGCCAATAGCTACATTTATCTACACCTTTGGGTATAGTGGTGTATTTTGCCCAAATGAGCAAATACACGATGAAACTATTAATCGCTCTCTTCAATGTGCTACTTTTGGGAAGAAACATGAAGGATTTTATAAAATATGAATGTGCAAACACTGAAATAACTATTTTCCTAGATGCTTGCTCAACATGATTCTCTTTTGTAAAGATTAACCGTAATGTGCCGTATTAAAAGGTTTTGTAAGCTATATGGCATTATATAAATGTGAGTTATTATAATTATTGAACAGGCTATTAATTAAATAGAGCAAAATTAGAAAAATTGAATTTTTAATTTTCATTAGTCTTAAGTGTTAACTGATGACACTCTGGCAGCTCTTAATATCACAGCTCATTTGAAAGTTGAGAAAAATGAGGAAAAGTGTTGTAATTTGCACAAGACTTTTGATTCAGTCTTAGGTAGACTCAACGTTAAAGGACAGCAAACACCCTAGACTTTTAGCCTAAGTATTCAATTACTTCTCCCTTCTTTTTCCTTGAGTGCCTGTGATGAGCAAGCCTCTCAGTTCACCTTTTCCCTCTAGTTGATAACTGCTGGCCACTGTTTGATTTTGACTCCATCGGTCAGTTCTCTTATGCAAGTTTTTGAAGATTTTGTGGATGGTAGTAGGTTTTCTTAGAGGCACTATATATATTTACCCCTTGCAGTTAAAAGTCATTTCCCTAAATGTTGGTTACTTTCTACGTAAGGTAGGTGAAAAGCTGATCTAGTTGAAATGAAATTGTTAGGAGCTAGCACACATAGGCAGCTGAAGTGAACAAAAGCGGTGCCACTCCCTGAAGCACTGAGTTGGGAGAGACCCAAAGCTTCCCTGAGGGCTCTGTGGGAAGAATTCCACAATTGATTAGGAATGTCTGCCATGAACAAGACTGACAGTGGAGCGATGGGTTTCCGCCATCGGAGTTCTAGGTTGATAAGCAATAGGAGGGAAGTGGGGTAAGGTCTACCTGTTTGTGAGCAGGTGCTGAGAAACTACTGACCCACAGAGAACAAACAAGTTCAACATAATCTGGATCTTTAGACTGAAGAACCAGTAATGTCTGTATGTCAAGGAAATGTGGTACCCTGCAGTAAGTAGTCCCGAAATATGGAAGGGATTATTGCAAAGCAGTTCATGAGAAATGTGGATGTGTCAACTACCCAGTGAGACGCTGACCCAGCATGAGTCCAAAATGATGACTCTTTAGCCCCTCTTCCTCTCCCGCCTCCTTCAAATCTAACTTGAGGCCAGTCCCTTCATGGACAATCCACTTCTAACGTCTGCCCAAAAGACAAAAACTGAAACCAAACACTGATACTGCCTCATCTCCCACTCCAACAAAAATGCAGTGGAGAACAGTCCAAAAACCTCATCGTTGGACCCGATGGAACTAGTATTTGACCAAAAAAAAAAAAAAAAAAAAAAAAAAAAAAAAAAAATCCCTGCTCCCTCCATCTTAGAAAACAAAAGTGGAAAACAGCAAATGAGCTTCCAGATGAATGAGATTTATGAAGGATGAATAAGAACATACAGTCATTTAACATTTTGTTTCCCCATAATCTGTGCCAAGAGGTATTGGGGACCCACTGGTGTTTTCAGGTCAATAGGGTACGGAATATTGCATATTCTAACAAAGCCTTAGCTTTAGTTTATTTTCTAATCTAGAAGAGAGAAAGAAAGAAGAGAAAGAAAGAAAGAAGAGAAAGAAGAGAAAGAAGAGAAAGAAAGAAAGAAAGAAAGAAAGAAAGAAAGAAAGAAAGAAAGAAAAAGAGAGAGAGGAGGGAAAGAGAGGGAGGGAAGGGAAGAGGAAAGAAAGAGAGAAAGAAAGAAAGAAAGAAAGAAACAAACCCTCCTTTAAAGCAAAAGTGAGCTCCAAGCTGCTTACAATTGCCTTCTGCCTCTGCCTCTCCCTTTGTTTGGCCCTCTCAGACTCCCGCTTCTCATACTCTCTGCGGTATTCTTCCCTCTTCAGCCTCTCATGCTGATATTCCTCGTAGCTGTCATACCTGGGGAACATAACTTCATCATTAAGTCAACCGCCTCCGTTTAGACAAGCACAGTGAATCGCGAACTGGGGAGGGGGCGGGGTGTGAGCTAACTCGTGTCGTCTAGGGGAGGGGGGAGAGGAGGAGCGCAAGGAAAACCACCTGCCTCCTTACCTGGGCCTGCGGCTGTAGGGCGACCTGGAACGTGATCTTGCGCACAGAGGAGAATTTCGGTGCACGCGGTGTCTGCAGTGGCTCGACTCATAGTAGTAGCAAGATCTGCGAGCGAGAGGAAAAACAAAAAGGGCATTTGCAACTGCTGCTTAACCCCGCTTTATCGGCCCAACTAGGCATGCCTTGGAGACACCGTAGGACATAAAGCGGCTTTTTTTCTTCCTAGCTACTGGTGAGATTTCCCGGTGACAGTTTGTGATCATCTAGTCAGCTCAGAGGTCTGGGAGTGATGTGTTCTCTCCCAGCCTCTCTTATTGATGTTAACACCGAGCGCCAGTCCGGTACACTGTCAGCTTTATCTTGCATGGATCTCAACTATCCTGGCACAGGGCAGCTCTCCAGGTAATGGAAAAAGTTAGATGAGCAAGTTTCTTACAAATTGCTCTCTGTGATCCGACTGGCTCAAGGCACTTGTGCTCAAGGCTGACAGATTTAAGAGATGAGGAGGCCTGTCGGTGTAACAACCTGGCTAGTTCCAGAGGCGCTGGGAACGGCCTGGTGAGAGGGGCTGGGGCTGTCTGTGGCTTTTGAAGGCTTGCTTTTTTGGACCTTACACTTCGGGTGGGCGTTGACAAGGTTTACCTGGAAGACGATCTGCTGCCTGGGGACCTTGATCTTGACCTGGAATATGGTGATCGGGAACACGACCTGTGTCGAGAAAAGGACCTTGAACGAGAGCGCATCCTTTGGGGTCTTTGAGCAAATAAGGATTTGGGTGGTGACACGGAATCTCTACATGGAGAGTTAAAAGAAGAGCAAGAAGGCGACACATCGAACAATGAATAGGATTGCGTGCCATCCCAAGGGTAGTTCAGTTTATCACTTTCATCTTCGCTGTCATCAAATAGGCCATCCATGGCTAGTCCTGAATTTATAAACATAGGTAGTTTGGAGAATTGTTCATTACTGAAATCACTGTCCCTCAGTTCACTGGTCTTGTCTGCTTCGTCGTCAAAAACAGCTTGACTGGGATGACCGAAGTGCTTGTTCAGCTCAGCTCGGATTTCCTGGTCTTGGAGCTGTTTCCTGGTGCTGCAAGGAGAGACCTGCTTGCCCGCCTCCGAAGTCTCTCTCAGGTAGCACTGGTCTGAATCTGTGGAAGAACAAATCTGCCCCTGCCAGTCGGAGGAGGCATCTTTATATTCTAGTGGTCTAGAGTCTTGGAGCTCCTGTGATATATTAATGAGTATTTCCGTTTTGGAATTAATCGACTGACAATAGTCATGGTCACCAAACAGCCGTAGACTGGGCCGCTTGGTCTTCCTTTCCTCGTGGCCACTGGTGAGCACGGAGGTCTTGCTGAGTTGTGCGTACAACTCAGACTGCTCGGGCCCTTTCTTGGTGGAGTTACTGCCTAGGGCGCCAGAGGGCTCACTGCTCCGGGGCTTCTTCGACGGCGGAGGTACCACAGTCTTGCAGGAGGACTTCAGCTTTGGAGAAGTCCTGAAAGGATTATCTTGGTTGGCTTTATGAGGAGGAGTTGTGGGTGGAGTTAGGCCTGAAGGTCAAAAGGGGAAAAAACAAACAAACAAACAAACAACAACAAGGGGGGGGGGAAGAGATGGAGATAATGCTGTTAAATGCCAAGATATGGTTCCTTAACTTTTCCAGGATTTCAGACAAGGGTGAGAAAGAAGGAAATGAAATTCATGACAAGACCTGAAAAAGCACCTTTCGCCCCCTCGGCTTCTGTCCCCAGGAAAAGATGGATCTCACTACCGCCGGGCAGCAGGGAAATCCGTGATGCTTTGGGTTTTAAACGCCCATGCTAACAGATCTCGCTTCCCAGAAAATGTTCACGCCTCCCTACCGGCCTCCACAGCACCAGGCATTACCAAAGCTCACATTTCCAAGGGCGTCATCTGTCTGCCTTACGGTGAATTAACAGCATGGCCCAGGGGAATCACAGAGTAGCTTTGGTAGCATTCGTCTGCAAAGAAGCCTGCGGAGCATACGAGTGGCTCAGAAGTTGTTCTCCGATCAAGGATATCTACCCTTGGAGCCCAAGAACTAGGCAACTTAAAAAAAAAAAAGAAAGAAAGAAAGGAAAAAGAAAAAGGAAAAAAAAAAGATGGGATGATAGCAAATGTGGGGCAGGTTCAGAGTGACAGAGACAACTTCAAAGTTAAGTTCAGAAAAACAGGACAGACCAAGGCAGGGAACGGAGACAACTCTGCAACTTGATGGCAGTGATTGTCTCCACAGTTCATTAACTTGGTAAACCATGGCTAATGTAGGTATAATACTTTCTTGTAAGCATAACTAATACATTCTGTCTAAAATATGGTTCTGCAACAGAAACCTAAATGAACAGGAACACTAAATATTGCAGCGCCAGTGGACCATTTTATTTAGAGCACAACATCAGGGCGGGGGATGAGGCTGAGGGATTGCGATGGATCCACCCATCAGCAACCAACTCATTAAAAATGTGGGGGAAAAAAGGGAGACGAGAGAAACCCCGTCAGTGGGTGCCTTTCGTCCTTTTCTACAGAAGAGCAGAAAAATTCCATCAGATGCTGTCATGGGACAGTCTGTGAATTACAGTTTGCCTCCTCTCTGTTTTACCCCGGAGAAAGTTCTACGCATCCCTTTACACGGAGGGAGGATAACTGGGAAGTGGCTCCAGAGTCCAAGGAACTTTGAAGAAGGGCAGGCTGGAGTTCAAATGACTTTATGCTTACAAGGGAATATTTGAGTTTACAACACACTTTCTATTTAGGAGGATGGGTGAAGGCTATTCAGCAGAAAAGAACTTCAAGTCTGCTAAGAAGCCTGGGGTTAGACTTAAGGCAACCGCACATTTCAAGGAAATGGCAGAGAAATCTAACCTTGCTGGAGTAAGGAAAAAAAAATATATATATATGTATGTATATACACACACACATAACCAAGTAGGTCACAGAAAGCCACTTGAAATTTTGGTATGAACAGGAAGATACTGCCTCTTTATAATAAAGAGATGAAAGAAATTGATATTAATATTTCCTCTATAATAAAATAGTTTACAACTAATATTTGGCAATTTTTATTATGCAAAGCTAATGCTCCTTAAATGAGGAGAGAAAAGCTACAAAAATGCAAAGTAATTTGACTCTGGAAATCCATCCCAGAAAAGTTCAGAAAGACAGGAAAATATAAACACAAAGTGAAGGGACACATCAGGGTCCCAGCAAAGCTTCCTCAATTAGCAGTCAGGCACTCTTCGCTGGAAGAGAACCAGGAGGTGACATATTATTGGAGGAAACATCTGTGTCACTGAGGCACACTCTCCTTTTGTCCTCTCTTTCGTGGACAAGTATGTCTTTTCCTCCATTAAGAAATTCCTATATAATTAATCTTTCTCCTTTCTCTCTCTCTTTTTCCCCTCGTTTCCTTTACCTTTTGCACTGCCCCGTCATAACGCTGATTTCTACCGCATGCTACTTTCAATTGCCATTACAACAAATGTAAAGATACTAATAACCCTGCCCCCAAAGAAATGACAGATTCTTAGATATTTCTCATAGCAGGTTAAGATGCTCAAAGAAATGATGAATAATCTCTCTTTGCTGAGCAAATAACAGCCAAATATTCCAAATGACATAGCCCTTGATTGGGGGAAACAACATTCGACATCCTAAAATCCAATTCCATAAATCTTTTCATGGTTCCCAAACTAGGGTAGTTTTTACTTTCCTAATAATTTACTGCCAGGATCACTCGTTTGATACTTACTGGATAATGCTATATATTCTTGCTCATCTCGTTTTGAATGTATGTTTTATCTTGTCTCTCCAAATAGATTATATGCTCTTAGTGGAAATGTTGCCTGGACTTATTTTTGCAAAAATTCTTACTCATTTATTTTTTTCCCCCTAGGAACGCCTGGGTGGCTCAGTCAGCTGAGTGTCTGCCTTCGGCTCAGGTCATGATCTCAGGGGTCCCGGGAGCAAGCCCCACATCGGGCTCCCTGCTCGGCAGGGAATCTGCTTCTTCCTCTCCCGCTCCTGCTCCCCCTGCTTGTGAGTGCACACTCTCTCTCTCTCTCTGTCAAATAAATAAATAAAATCTTTAAATTCTTTTTTTCTAGATTCTCCTTACATTTCAGCGGCCCAAGAATGACTTGGGAAGCCGGTCAAACATTTTTAATGAGGTGGTTCATGGACCACATATGGAGAGCATCTGTCCTGCCGTGTTCGTGCCGCACATTGCCTTGTTCTCAGTTACATGTATTTTGACTGACATTCTAGACATATAAAAAGAAACCCTAAACTTCAGAAACACCAAATTAGGCCACTATTAAAGAGAGACTAGTTCTAAAAATAGCTCAGCTATCTAGGGATTTTAAATATAGAAATTCTTTTTAGTCTTGAACATCTGAAACCCTTGTCCTAATACCTAAGCTCATTATCGCTTAAATAACTGATTCTCAAGTTGCTATTGGGAGTGGCGACACCCTGATTGTTGTTTGTTTGTTTGTTTGTTTGTTTGTTTTAGTTAAAAGCCCAGCCTTTTACCTTCTTCACATCTTAGGCAGCCTGTAGCAATGGGAACAGACATTCACTGAACACCTATTAAGTGCTGGATCATACACCAGATGTGGATACATCAGGGACTTCGTGGTCCCTTTTAATAAATGGGCAAATCTTCAAAACTTGAAGTTAAGTACATGTTCTTGCGCATGTGCTTAAAATTTACAGAAACATTGAGATAACCAAATATACCCTATGAGTGAAAATAGCAGGGCTGTAAATTTCTGTTGGCACACTTTGTTAAAAAAAATAATACTTGCCTAATGGATTGAAGTTATTTTAGGATTAGTGAGTACGTGGGTAAGGGAAAAACAATTCAGATAATTCCCTAAACTTTTTGCTGTTTACTGAAATGTCTTTATTCAGAGAATACCTCCAAGCAAGACCAAGAAATCTCAGGGACAGAACCACCAGCGCCTAATTGAAAATCTATTTCTAGATTAGAGTGGAGACCCAAAGCAAAACAAAGAAAGCAAAAGCAAAACAAAAGTGTAAGAAGAACTTGCTCTTCTTTTTTTTTTAACGTAGTGTCAAACTTTTAAGAGCCACTGATGGGACAAGGGACCCTTTGCTGCACCTGAGCTAATTGGATCTCTCCCATGTCCCCCGGCCAGAACTCAGTCCCTGGCATTCGGAGGACAGTCAATACTCAATTCCTTAATGCCGCTACCTTTGCTCATCTTCCCTCTAATGGCCAGACTCTCAATTTCACCCCACAAGCTTAAATCAACAGTGCTAATGCCTCCCATAACCTCCGGATTATTTCCTGTGTGTTGATTTTCTGGGGAATGTGTACATTTTGGTGTTGACAGTACAAGGTATATTCCATGCTCTCTCTTGAACTTAGCAGGTTTTGACAGATTTATGTGAGGACAGATGGCCATTACAGGCTGAAGGCTGACAAGAGGCAGTTCAGAGCATTGTTAACACACTTGCACAAACTCTCAGCAGTGCAGCACTGTGCAGAATGTAATTCAGACTATAGCTTTTTTATTACTGCCTATTTTCTTTTGTCAAAAGAGCCTGCTGTGCAGAGCAAAAAATGGCTGCTATTACCCGGAATGTAATGGGTGTCAGACAAATCACGTAACACAAACAATCAAGAGTATGTAGGTCATATTTCAACAGAGCACAACCTTAGCAATATTTATGATTACTGCATTGAAATGTGTTCTATAATAAACAAGTACCTCTGCATCACTCACACGCACTTCTGCACAGCAAATCGGGGAGAAGTGCTACACACTCCACAGTCATCTTTTTAAACAGCCCTTTTATTAAAAAAAAAAAAAAGTCAAAGACAAGTTTGGTTTGGTTTGGTTTTTCATGATGTGCCATAAAACGATTTTCTTTGAGGAGCTCTCTTTTGGGTTTGTTTGTTTAATTGAATGACTCTGATAAATGATGACTCCTCCGCTGTGTGTGTGTGTATGTGCGTGTGTGTGTTCCACAATCCACCCAATGACTTCAGCAGGGTTTGTTTGTTTGTTTTTTAATAGTTTATAACATTTTACAGAATCTACTGCTCTGTGACTTGCTTTAGAGTTTCTTTGACAGTGGGATTTTTCTTAGGTCACATGTTAATTGAAATATTTCTTAAGGAGAAACAATGAGAAGATGAGTTTCTAATTTGCTTAAACACTTACCCAAAAAGAAGGACTGGGCAGAGAGGCCTGTGGCTTACCGCTCTCCTAGATTTTATGCCTCAAGAACTTGGAGTGGGTGTCAAGAGATCACAGGACGGGCTGATACTAAGTATGAACTGTTACTGCTCTGCTAGTGAGAATGTTTTGTTATAAAAGCTCCTCTCGGGCCCTCCTCAGGCCTTCAACTTCCCCAGGACTCTCTGGAGGTCCAGAGGAGCCAGCCGCTGAAGTGTTAATGGTCCCAGGGAGGAACCTCTCACACCCTGCTCAGTACTCTGGAGGCCATCACCCCAGGCTGCCCTGACTGCAGGTGCCTCTGCCTTTACTCCTTTTTCAGT